TGTCTCTGAAAGACTCACCTGTTCCGTTTGTACTTTTAAAGTGACCTTGTACTGCCACCAAGTTTTTACGTTTCCTTGACTCTTGTATACGCTATGATCGCGCCCCAGCGGAGTTTAGCGTCATATAAATGGACATTATTATTATTATTGGACGATGACCACGCCAATCACATGAAGTTTTTAGAGTGTCAGCCATCATGTATTCACCGCCAAATCGAGTTAAAGCTAATAGCTGTAATGATGGCGTTGATATTGATTAATATTGTTCTGTATCATTAGACCAGCTTGAAATTATAATCATATTGCAATTATAGACTTCCTCTTGGAAGTTGTTTATAAAGTAATACTGGTATTGATCAAGTCCAAAACACCAGCACCAGTGCAGTGTGGCATTTAAGATATTCCCATGTGAGCATTCTACTTTTATGATGCTTTTATAGCAAATTCAGATGAGGGGCTGCTTGTGCCGATCCTACACCCAATGCCTATTCTGCACAATGGAAACCTACTTTCAACAATTATGCAATATTATTAATTCATGACAAATAGTAATCTAGTATTATGTTAGAGCATGGGGTTTTTTTATAAAAAAAAGGCATGGACGTGATTTTAACAAATAAATAGTTTCGCAAGTGTGCTTTTATCCTTGGACTGTATTCAAATTCAGATTAATCGTATTATATTACCTATATTAAATTCAGGAAATGCACACAAAAAAATATCGGGTATCTAATGTCTCTAGATAAAATCATGTCACTTCAAAAAGTGTTATATATGTTGTTACTCTTAATATAGAAGCTACGTCGGCCACTTGCCTCTGTAACTGAGTTACCTCTCATAGTCTGACCAGGATCAGCCGATAGAAAGCTTAATCTATCCTAATTATGAGCTTTGGTTTGTTAGCAGCGAAGTCACGTGGTAAACGCTTGATACATCACGCATCAGTGCGGCTTTTTTCACTCAAACGCGGCCTTCAGCGTGACGGTCTTCTTAACCCTCGGATCACCAAGGTCAGAACGAACGAGACCACACCATCCTTCAATGGAATCCCGAGTGAAAGATACCAATTCTTCACAGGTAAACTTTTGACATAATACATAACACATTACAGATACCCTTCACCATGTCAAACTGAAACATGAACCAGCAGGGTGTTTGATGGATGAATTGATCGCATGATATGGAATATCTTGACATCATTGCAGTTTTCGTACTGTTCGGAAGATCTATAGCACACGCAGCATTCCTTCGATTTGAGCAAAATAATTATTTAGTAGTAATTGATCCCATAGACGGAGAAAGGCATCCACATGTTCCTTATCAATTGAATTTATTAAAATAGGGGTTGACGTATACACGGTAAGTTCATTTGACAAAATTGTTATTGCTAATGCAATAACCTATCCATACTAACAACATAAATTATAGTTATGTTAGTCTGAACGGTTTTGTCGTAATTGGTATGGGAGTATGTTCTCCGTGTCGATGTCCGTTGTGCTTGCCTGAATGCCCTCAAATGTGCAAACAAACTTGAGACTAGTTATGCTATGATTATATAGAAGCACGTGGATGGTACCATGCAATCATGTGCTCCAGAATCCACAAGCTTCAAGGACAACGGGATTTCAGTAAGAAATAATCCCACGTGGGTCTCCAAATCAGTCCCAGCATGATGTGATGGCATGCGTGGCCATATTGAACTGACAGTGCTTCGGCGTTTCCAGATGAAATCCCTATAATCAGAAACCTATTACTGAGTCAGATACACACGGACAAACTGACGACCATAACGATCTCTGTAGCAGCAAGCAATCACGGCTACAACACTTATATCATTATATGTTTACTAAAACACACATTATGTGTTATTACGGAAGTTAACATGTACGTATGGGATATTTATGCATTAGGACATGGGTAACATGGTCAGCGTTTCGCAAACACCATTATTTCCTTTTGCTGACTAATACATGCATGCAGCAGAGTTGTTGGGTGATTCTGGCAGTCAAGCTGGTTAGGCTCATTATCAGCTCTGGGCCCTCCCCACATCCTCCCTAGCTACCTCTTGGAATTCAGCCAGGAAGGGCAGCCAAGCTGGTCGAACCTTTCAAGGTATGTTAAGAGACTGTGAAGACCACTTAACATGACAAACTTCTGCATTCCCCTTGATGTCAGAAAGGCAGTGTTCCTGACCGCAGTCCAAGTCAAAACATTGATTACACAACAGTTTCGTTTCCTGCTGACTGGGTTCCGTCCTATTGCGCAACTTAGTACAATAACCAGTCCAGAATTTTGAGGTTCATTTAACTGGCTACATAAATATTTATAAGTATTATTTGATACATCTAAGCACCTGTATATTGCAACACTACGCTCCTTATAATCCTTGCAAACATGTCGTGCAGCGTACTCTGTCGTACAGCGAGCTCTGACAAACAGAAACCTGGCAATCGTGGAAATCTCAAAACGAGGCTCTGCCGCTAGAAAAGTTTGGCGGTCTGGAACGGACTTGATATTATATCAATCACATTGTGCGTTCAGAACTACACTGACTAAGCGCAAAAACGCATAACCGGTGTAACCAGTGAGCCAGATGCATTGTGAATCATTTTACGACCTCATCAAACTGGGGCAGTCTGTGACGTCTTAGTTAAGGTCATGCGGCCTATACCTCGCCATAAAATATGAAATACGATGTTATTAAAGTTTAAAATTAACATCAATTTGTAGATACCATTTTCTTAAGAAACGAAGAATTAAAATTCAGTGTAACCATGGTTGTTTGTGATGTCTATTTTTAGTTTCACACGAGAAAATTCCGATCGGTTGAAAAGTAGGTCATTGTCTCCACTAATGTACACAGATAATCACAATGATAATGGTGTCGTTTATAACAAAACACTGCTAATTAAAAACACCTAATACTTATTTTCACGGGTAAAATTGTTATATATAAATGTACTTCAACCCAATTCTTGCTACAGAATGGTATAATATTAATGTATCATGGGCCGTTGGAATGTTACTGAAACATATTGCCTGTCTTTCTGTCTGTCCGTCTTGAAACATACTGTCTGCCTGTCCGCCTGTGCATCTCTGAAATTATTGTACGTTTGTCTTTCTGTCTATATGTGACTGATAAGTCAACATGAATCCATGTTTGTCAGGTAACACAAGGAAATATACTCCCCATCAAACATTTAGACTCACTAGTGTAAATGTAGCCACTTACTTCAGTCAACTGTTCCAAACCAGATTTGGCAAAATATTCCATACTGTTTAAAGGTACTGTTTACACATGAACTGGTGTATTGTAAAACAAATTCGTAATGTTGAAAAGATTATTGTCATGAGTTCAATAAATTATAAAAATCAATGAAAACTGGCGAATTCTTGACCAAACGTTACACCAAAACGCAGCTGTTCACATGCACGATATTTACACATGCTTTTCAGCAATTTGATGCATGATCCTCGTGCAATTAATCTGCATAAAGTTTGCAGTTGGTTCCCCCACGTTAGTGGAGATATTCATCTTCGATGTAACTATATATATATATATATATATATATATATATATATATACACATGTACACACACACACACACACACACACACACACACATGACATATAGTGACTGCTTTAAGTGAGTCTTTTTTGATAGATACAAGGTTACAACATCTTGTAGACAGCATATTGGTTGATACAAAGGTATATCTAATATTATCTATCCAAATATTTAGTTACATAAGCACGATGTAGTAAAATTTACCTTTGTTGCGAAAGAGATAATTTCTAACAATATACTTATATAGATATATTTCTCTCAAGCTATTGCCATTGAGATCATAGCTTGCAAGTTTTTAGTGCAGAGAAGTAAATGACCTTTGTACTAGATATACGTATTTAGATTGCAGGAACGTTGCATGAATTGCACTCTCCACAGACAAGACCGCCTCCGTGGTGTAGCGGTTAGAGCGTCCGCCCGCAGTGCGGAAGGTCGCGGGTTCGATCCCCGACCGCGTCATACCAAAAGACGTTAAAATATGGTACTTGTTGGTCCCTGCCTGGCGCTCGGCATTAATGGGTACATCAAGGACTGGTCGGCTCGGAGTCAGTATACTGTGTCTGAGTGGGGTATTCATGCTTCACTGCGGCATGGTATCTCAGTGAGCTGGCACTATAAAACCAGCGTCAGTCTGGGCTAGTACAAGCAGCCGCACATACACATACACACGCATGCACGTCGTCATATGAGCGAAATATTCTCAAGCACGACGTTAAACCCAATTCACCTCACCTTCACAGACAATGCGCCAGTCTCAGTAGCTGGATGTTGCGTGTATCGAGCCAGAGAATTAAACACAGGGTTATTACGTCTACAAGAACATGTATACTACCCATCAAAAGTTTAGACTCACTAGTGTAAATGTAGCCACTTACTTGTCCACTGTTCTAAACTAGCTTTTTGCAAAATATTCCATACTGTTTAAAGGTACTGTTTAGTTATGAACTGGTGTATTGTAAAACATATTCGTAACATTGAAAAGATTATTGTCATGAGTTCAGTAAATGATTAAAATCTGTGAAAATTGGCGAATTCTTAACAAAACTTTACACCAAAACGCATATGTTCACATGCACGACATTTGCTCATGCCTTTCGCAATTTGAAGCATCATCCTTGTGCAATTCATCTGCATAAGGTTTTCAGTTGGTTCTCCCAAGTTGGTGGAGAAATTCATCTTCGATGTAACCACATACATATACATAACATATAGTGAGTGCTTTAAGTGAGTCTAAACTTTTGATGGGTAGTATATATCCCCGATCATGCTACTTAATTAATGAAGTTTATCAGTGCATGTCGGGTAAATTCCTAATCATCACTGCTCAAAAATGTCAAAACAGAATTAACGGTAGCGAGATTTCTTAAACTGGTTAGATATACATTAACACCGAATATACACGCATATAGAACAATGATTTATATACATTACCTTAGATAACAGAGTGCATGAGGGATACTCCAACGTCATCCAGATTTTATGCTTTGTGTTTAAAGTAGCCGGCTTTTCAGATAGATGGTCGTATAACGACTTCTCGATGATGTCAACAGCTTTCATGTCTTCAACAGCAGCAATGTATTTTTTCCAGCAACACTCCGAAATGAGATCTTCTTTAATCTCCCAAAACCTCAGTTCGTTCTTAATGGTAAATGTACACAAATGCGATGGCAGATGAAGCTCTCCAGTCCGATACAGATCAAGAAGTGGAGGAACCATTTTAGGATTACGATCAAAGAAAAACTCATCACAAGTTTGATCATAATTCTGGCTTTCTGTTGTAAGCCGTCCCAGAATTGTGTCTGGGTAGCGTTGTAAAATAGTTTTACCGATGGTGAACCTCTTCCCTGACACATTCAGTGTAACAGTCGCCATGGTGGGAGTCGAGGTCTGTGTGTTGGTCGATCAACGATCACGCTCAAAGGCCTTGGAATCCATCAGGGGTAGGTGACTGTAGGTGATCCCTACAACCAATTATATACAAGAAGGTACTCTCAAATGACGGCAGAGACATGAGCAGAGAAGACCCTCGTGTCAACTCAACTAGCTCTATTTACAATCGATATTTTACCAGCTGTGAGAATACCGTTCATGTCACGTGATCAGTACGCAACCAGGAGCTCTACAGTATTACGTAAGTTCGGTCTCGTGTTTCTCGTGTGGCAGTGAAAAATAATATTGTTAGTTTATTTTTTGTCATTTGAGGATATAGTCAATGTGCAAGTACTGGAAATAGGTTCAGACATCTGTGGTTTTGATTTACATTATATGTTGAATGAGCATTAAGAAAACAAAGTTGTACTTAATGCCATGCGCATGCCATGCTTCTTTATCAACACATGGCTGGCGAAGTATAACTGAGCTAACTATAAGACAGATGTAAGCTATGTACAACGGACTTAACGTGCACACACTAAGCACGGTTCCTGCTCAAATGTTTGGGAATATGCACTAAACTGGAGGAGTGGTAAACAAGATACTTGTCGCTTTCGCGTATTCACGCTGGGTGAATCTGTAGTGACATAAGAAACGGTAGCTGGCATTTGGGGTATGTTGGCAACAACGTTAAGGCGGTTGATGGTTCTTCACGCCACAGTGCTGGCAGTTTTATATTATTAGTTGTGCCAGTTTTATGAAGTGAGTGAGTGAGTTTACTTTTACGCCGCTTTTAGCAATATTCCAGCAATATCACGGCGGGGGCACCAGAAATGGGCTTCACACATTGTACCCATGTGGGGAATCGAACCCTGGTTTTCGGCGTGACGAGCGAATGCTTTAGCCACTGTACCCTTTATGTGGGTGAATCTAAGCCGCTTTTAGACGACGGCGGGGACACGCTTCACACATTTAACCAATCGGCGGATCTTCGGCGTGACGAGTGAATGCTTTACCAGTAAGATCTCTATGTGTTAGAAATCAATAGATCTGGTGATAGTGTTGTGTTAGTATAGATACCTGGTACATTATCGTACCGGGGAGTAAAATATAGTGATAATATTAATATACTTGGTGTATGTAAAGTAATACTATTTTATATGCTGATGGTGGATTGTATAATACTTTATACTTTACAAGTCTAGAACTTATATGATTACCGGTATACTTGGTGTATACTTGGAATACGGTCGTTATCGATGTCGCTTTGAATATGGCTAAAACTGGTATACCGGTTGTTGTTGGTCTGAGTGTGCTTTCATTGTGCATTGCTAATACCGGTATTATAGTTGAGAGTAGGGGCATTGCTGGTACTTGGCTCATCAGGTATCGCGATTGACTCATAGCTAACACTGGTGTTACTTGGTGTTATGTAAAACTTTGGATCTTTGGAGGGATAGTGCTGGTATTAAAATATATGACGAATATTGTTTGTTTGGTGTATGGCGTAAAGCTTGTGGTATGCTAATGGAGTAGGGATGGCGTATACTGGTATCAAGATTGGTGTATGACGTATACTGGTATCAAGCTTGGTGTATGGCGTATACTGGTATCAAGCTTGGTGTATGACGTATACTGGTATCAAACTTGGTGTATGGCGTATACTGGTATCGCTTGGTGTATGACGTATACTGGTATCAAGCTTGGTGTATGGCGTATACTGGTATCAAGATTGGTGTATGACGTATACTGGTATCAAACTTGGTGTATGGCGTATACTGGTATCAAGATTGGTGTATGACGTATACCGGTATCAAGCTTGGTGTATGACGTATACTGGTATCAAGTATATTGGTGTATGACGTATACTGGTATCGCTTGGTGTATGACGTATACTGGTATCAAGATTGGTGTATGACGTATACTGGTATCAAGATTGGTGTATGACGTATACTTGGGTATCAACTGGTATCAAGCTTGGTGTATGACGTATACTGGTATCGCTTGGTGTATGGCGTATACTGGTATCAACTGGTATCTTGCTTGGTGTATGACGTATACTGGTATCAAGCTTGGTGTATGACGTATACTGGTATCAAGCTTGGTGTATGGCGTATACTGGTATCAAGCTTGGTGTATGACGTATACTGGTATCAAGCTTGGTGTATGACGTATACTGGTATCAAACTTGGTGTATGGCGTATACTGGTATCAAGATTGGTGTATGACGTATACTGGTATCAAACTTGGTGTATGGCGTATACCGTATACTGGTATCAATCGCTTGGTGTATGACGTATACTGGTATCAAGCTTGGTGTATGACGTATACTGGGTATCAAACTGGCGGTATGGTGTATGACGTATACTGGTATCAAGCTTGGTGTATGACGTATACTGGTATCAAGCTTGGTGTATGACGTATACTGGTATCAAGCTTGGTGTATGGCGTATACTGGTATCAAGCTTGGTGTATGACGTATACTGGTATCAAACTTGGTGTATGGCGTATACTGGTATCAAGCTTGGTGTATGACGTATACTGGTATCAAGATTGGTGTATGACGTATACTGGTATCAAGATTGGTGTATGACGTATACTGGTATCAAACTTGGTGTATGACGTATACTGGTATCAAGATTGGTGTATGACGTATACTGGTATCAAGCTTGGTGTATGACGTATACTCGTATCAAGCTTGGTGCATGGCTAATGTTGGCATTATGCTTGTGACAAGGCTACATGTAGAAATAGTATTCTTCATTTGTGGATGGAACGAGTTGGAAAAGTGTTGATTGTAGATCTAGCAAACTCAGTATTTTGACAGTAGCATCTACAATAGTATGTGCTCCTACTTGTCCAATTAATGAAATGACGGACGTGTACAGTGTAAAAAGCAACATGTCAGAAATATGTCAGCAGTGAGTGAGGGAGTTTGGTTTTACGCCACTTTTAGCAATATTCCAGCAATATCACGGCGAGGGACACAAGAAATGGGCTTCACACATTGTACCCATGTAGAGAATAGAACCCGGGTCTTCGGCGTGATGAGCGAATGCTTTAACCACTAGCCTACCCCACCGCCCCAATATGTCAGGAGGTGATCTTGGCTGTAAAGGCTGACAAGGAGGAAGGAGACTTTAACTGCGGTAGTAAGGTATGTTGTACCAGTGCAACACCGCAGAAATAGTAGCAGAATTGGTAGTTTGTGTATCCAATGTGTATCAAGTTCATTAACAGTTGGAACGGCAAATTAGTTCTGGTATATTAGGAAATACAGACCTATAGCGATAGCGTTTAGTCGGTTGGGGGTAGATGCAACAGCAGTTTACTTGTAAAATGATATATACTATGCAAAAAATATCCATATATCCAAAAATAGAAGTCATATGTATGAGATGAAACGACGTATTCGCGGAGATCATCCATTGGTCGGTTGACATAAAGCTTGACTAGCCCAAGTGATTTACATTACTGTTTATTAAGGAAGACGTTACCAGGAACTACATCAATGAATCTAACGTCGTAGAAATATAACGTCATATTCGGAGGTCACTTGCTAATTATGTCGTGAAAAACTACTCAGCCATATCTACAATATTTCGACTGCTGCTATTTCTAAAGAGACTAATTCATACCTTGTGTATCACAGAAGTGGCTAATGTGATGATAGTGGTGGTGTTGACGAGAGAAATAGTAGTAAACGTGGTAGTAGTAGAACGAGTACCATAATAGTGGTATTGGTAGTGGTAGCTGTTGTGGTAGGAGTAGTTGTAGGAGTAGTCGAGGTAGTTGTGCTGTTGGTATAGTAATAGCAATATGGATCGTTGTAGTCGTAGTAGCAGCAGTGGAGGTGGTAGTAGCAGCAGTGGAGGTGGTAGTAGCAGCAGTGGAGGTGGTAGTAGCAGCAGTGGAGGTGGTAGTAGCAGCAGTGGAGATGGTAGTAGCAGCAGTATTTGGAGAGGTAGTGGAAGCAGTATTTGTGGTAGTAGCAGCAGTATTTGTTGTCGTTGTAATCTTTGTTTCTTTTTAATGCCGGCGGCAGTCAGAATATAATCGAGTCAGGAAATAACAATCCAGTGATCAACAGCATGAGCATCGATCTACGCAACTGGGATACGATGACATGTGTCAACCAAGTCAGCGAGCCTGGCTATCCGATCCCGTTAGTCGCCTCTTACGACAAGCATGGTTTACTGAAGATCAATTCTAGCCCGGATCTTCACGGCAAGTTGTACTAGACTAGAGGATATAACTTACACGTGCTGTGTCCTCTTCGAAACACATCCATCTGACGATATGTCTGATATCGTTATAATGTATTCATCATTGAACAGGTTGTAACAAGGCTCGAAATTATCGCCCATGGCATCCAGTATTGGGTTTTACTTCAACAACCTCCACAATCAGCAGTAACCGATTTCACACGTGATGAACGACTCCAATACAGTAGAACAGAACTATCTAGCACCGGTTCAAAGGTAACTCACAAACATTAAATCCACAAGTGTAGGAGTAATAAATCACGCCATTGTTGTACATGTACAACTGATTCAAAAGGACCTCCCAAAACTGAACCTTAATATGTCACAACATATACTTATCTACAGAACAGTTAAAGGATTCCTTTGTACATATACGTCAGCTAAGAAAAGGCGTGTTCAGGCGTTGCAATGGTTCCATACATAACAGGCTGTCATGAGTTCAAATGGGTTAAACGTTCGCGTTCACGTGACTAGACGTATAGTTTGTATTCCGCTATATAATACCCCAGGGGGCCTTCCACGTATTATGTGCCTCTGGTGGGTGTATAATACGATATGTATTGATGAGAGAAACAAGGGAATATGACACGCTCTGGTCGATGAATATTTACTACAATACAATACAAGATTTGTCTGAAGATTCAATAACAAAGCGAAACTTGATAGCCATTAACATTCAAATGCGGAGACACAAGGATGTAATTCCCAAAAAGGGAGTGGCGGTGGGGTAGCCTAGTGGTTAAAGCGTTCGCTCCTCACACCGAGGACCTGAGTTCGAAAACCACACATGGGTACAATGTGTGAAGCCCGTTGTTGGTGTCTCCCGCCGTGACATTGCTGGAATATTGCTAACAGCAGAGCTAAACTCACCCACTCACTCCATATTCATCTTA